TCTTTATAACTTAAAGTCCCCTTTCCTGTATCAATAACCGCTCCGATTTTCTTTAATAGGTTAAATCCTATTAGTAAATCTGCCTCCATTCCATCTATTTCATAAAACACTTGCTTTGTGTTGAAAATTGTTATATTATGGAAATATTTAATTATTGAAAACCCATTCACTGTAGCAACTTTCTTATAGATTGGTAATTCATTTTTATTGTCGTAAATTCCTTTTTTTATATAACAGGAAGTTGCTCCCGTATCTATCAAAACTTTTAATTCTCTGTTTATTTTTTTGTCTACTCTTTTTAGGTAGGGCAGACCTACTTCGGGGGCTGATCTAAAAAATGATCCTCCTCAATGTTATTTATCCTCATTGCTTTATTAGCCGGTTGTTCCGACATTTCGTTTAGTTTTCGTTTCTGCGCTGGATTGTCGTTAGACTGATTATTCGGGACTACGTTTGCCCTAAAATGCTGGGCTTGGCTATAATTGTTATTATTTCTCCTAAAATAACCGTTAGTATTCTCCCGATAATTTCTATTGTTATTATTTCCCCTGAATTGATTGCTGTTCTGTCGGTTCCGGATTTGTATAGATTCGTCTACCTCCATTGGTTCTGGGGCCTGATTTTGTTGTCTATTACCCAAGAAATAGGGTTGTCCCCAAGACATGTTATTCCTCTGCAAATCCCTTTTTTGGTCGAATGGTGAACTGTTAGTCCTAGGTTGTCGTTGGTTGAATCTTAAGGTATTAAAATTATTATTCCCTGAATTTCTGGGACCGCTGAATTGGTAGGCAAATTGGGCCCGAATGTTATTAGATTGCAATTCCTGTACCTTTGCTAAGGCATTCGGTAAATCTGGGGGATTCAATGAAAATAGGATTTCAGCAATGCCGCCGTTTAGGCCAGTGACAAAAATGCGTAAGGCATTGTCTCTAATTTTTTTATTTGATTCCTTGGTGATCTCACTGTCCTTTCCGTGAGTCATTATTGTCTTATTTATTAACAAGGTCATTTTCTTGTTAACCTCGTTATAGAAATCTATAATTGAAAGGTTCCCTTGTCGGAGAACGCTTAATTCCTGTTCTATTATGTAAATAGGTCTCTTGTCACTGTAAACAAAGTCAAGCCGTGAAAGTATGGCATCAAAATTTAGAACTGTCCCGTGGTTGGTCAGTGCGTCATGTGCTGGTCCTGTTATTTTGTTTCTCAAAATTGTTAATGCAATATAATATTGCTTACTTCCTTTCTTATATAACTTCACTGCAGTTTCTGCAGCTTCCCTCCATCCTACATATTGGTTTAATCCACCATTAAAAATTGGTAGGGATTCTATTACCTTCAATGTGGTGTCGTCTCTTATTGTCTCGTCTATTGTTTCTGCCTGATAATCCGATACCTGATCGGATTTAGTTTCTATTTGTTGTTTTAAATTTACAATTTGCTCTTGTACTTGTGAAATTTGAAGTGCTTTCAATTGTTTGACCAGATCTGCTGTGAGATCGGTCCTTGCTTGAGAGTTAATCATTTTTAGTTTTTCAAAATCTAAAGTTAGCTGATCCACTTTTAATTTTTCTTATATGTTAGTTTTTATAATCTTATATATCCTAATTGAACTTATATATTTATTAATACAACTCTTGCTCACGAAATATCCGGTAGGGGTCGTCCTTCTTAGTTTGGCAGATCTTCGAACGGGTCTTCCTTCTTAAATTTCTTTGCTCAGCTGGGTCTTCTGGGGGTCTTCCTTCTTTGGCTTCGCTGATCGTTTCACTTTCTTTGTATTTTGGTTTTGTCGGTTTTGTTGGTTTTGTTTTTTTAAAAACTTTGGGTTTCTTTGGTTTTTTTTGTATTTACGAATTGCCTTGATTAGCTTTTTGTTTTATTTGTATTTTGCGTTGTATTTGTATTTGTATTTGTATTTGTATTTGTATTTGTATTTGTATTTGTTTTTGCACACCCTAAGCTCCGGTTTGTTTCCTTTTTATCTCACTTTTTTTTATCTATATCACACAGTCACTCCGCGTTTTTAATTTTGAAGGATTTATTCCATTAATTAATTGTCCTTCGGGTTTCGGCACGACGCAACACTTTTATCATTCGGTGCTTTTTAGACAACGTCGCCCCACGTTGGGCGCCAATTAAACAACTGCGGTAGCGGATTGTGTTTTTAAAAAGTTTTTATTTTACTTCGAACTTCACTGATATAGATTTAAGTAGAGGGTCACAAAGGAATTCCGGGCCAAGGGATTGCGCGATCTTAATATTTAGCTAGACTTTGCGGTGTCGCTGCTGGATCAAGACTGATTTGAACTTTCTGATCTTTGCATCGTTGATCCCTTTCGGGAATCGTTTTTCTATAAACATTTCAATTGATTTCGCCATCCCGAGTATTAGATTTCGTCATCCAAAGAGAGAACTGTAAAAGGCCTAAAGTGCAGGATCTGCAGAAAGCCGGGAGTGAGATTGTTTATGAGAAGCCGGGTGTGGGCAAACATTGGTTTTCCATTTAGGCGAGTGTCAAAGAATGGGATTGCGGCGGGGGCGCTTGAGATTGTACATCTTAGAAATCAATTAGGCGGAGGCCCAAGATTGAAATTGTTTTCGTTTTGGAAAACCAAAGATTGTTTACAACTCGTATAAGAGCTCAATGGAATTGGGTACGTTAACTTACATACATTTTGATTGAAACAATCCGATTTTCGGGGCTCGTTTTAAATTACCCCGCGACCCTTTTCAGGGTCACTTGTTTGTTGTGAAATTCAAAAAGAATGATCTGCAGAAACACTGAGAGAGAAGGAGAACGCGACCACCACCAGATAGTCTTGCGAGAGAGCGCATAAACACATGCGTGGAGAGCGAGATCCAGTAGTGGGAGTAGTGTTCGTGTGCTCCAGTCTCATTCACCCTCTTATTGTCAATACATGCATCCCTCTCTCTGAGCGACAGAGATAGCTATACTTACATATGTATACACATACATGAGATGACCGGCAACAGGTTAGTGTATCACACACATACACAAATTGAATATTTGTCTGCCAAAATGCATTGCGTATACGAGCCGTTGCCGGTTAATGCTAATTAAATGATGTTAATCAACTACATTTCTTTGATTTAGTGAGATTTCTTACACAATTTGATCTTTGAAAATGTGAAAAATTGAATAGTGTTAGGTCAATTAACCGATCGTTTGTCCCATTGTTTTAAGACACTCCCTTTTAAGTATTGCCCTTATCTGGTACAGAACAAGTAGTAACCCTGGGTGGCTCTGGTGAAATTCAAGCGGCAAATGTATTAGTGCATTCCAAAACGGCTAACTTCTTTTTGGACAGCCTATGACTGTCAAGTATCTATGTATGTAATTGGCAGAAGAATAAATCCGAGCAAACACGAACCACACACTTCGGCAGAGAGACGGTCGCCGGTGAACGTCTCACTCTCTCTCTCTTTTTCCGCAACCGTAATACAAGCATGTGTTCGGTCAGAGTGGGACGACAATAGAAATCGTACTTGTTGCGCGACGTCAGCTGTTGGTGTAGGACCGATGGCTTGTATTGGTTAGCGCTCTCTCTCTGACCGGCGACACACAGATACATATGTATGTACCTTTGCACGGGTTTGTTTTGAGGCTCGCATTGATATTGCCACTAGTGGAGACCAGGCTCCATTCGTAAAAAGTCGTTGCAACCGTTAAGTTCGTAAGCGGATAAAACAGCACTCAGCGCGAGATCCACCGGCAATTCGAAATATACTTAGGTGAATATCTATTGGAATTTAATATTGCGACCCATTCGAAATATTTCCCTTGAGATATTTCTTTTCCCTTTTATTTTATGATCTTGGGCAGAACGAAGTCACAGAAGTCAGTCTCAGAAGTTATTAACCGTTTATTCTGTTTCATTTTTTGCTCTACAATTTCTAGATGTTTTTTGCACATATTTTGTTTCTGTAATAATAGTACTCGTAACAATAACTTGGTTTTTCTGCGTTTACGAATTAAGAAAATGTAATTCCCAGTAAAAATCTCCACATCAGTGTAGGGCATTTGCCCGCAGTCAGTCCGATCGCACGGATCGAGACATGATCGATCGTGTTCAATTTCTGTGTGGTTGTTGTGCCGCCTAGTGGTACTCTGCGTCATGAGTACCTTTTCAATGTGTGAGTGCGCTCTCGCTCTCCGTCTGAAAAATGGCTCAGGCGGTATTCTCTCTCTCTCTCTCTACATTTCCCTTCTTTGTAATTGTGAATTGCATTTTTTGTTATTTGCGGGGGGGACAAAGAAATATTTTTTTTTTTTCTGATATGGAGGAAAGAAAACTAAAAACATTTGCAAATTGGACTATAAGTTTTTAATTTAAACATTTCAAGCCGAACAATTTAAATCTTGAAATTTTTAAAAGATTATTCCTTATATTTTCCTTTTCAATTGAATTCGAACAATTTTATAAATGTTTATCCCGATTTGTTCCTGTTTTCCAAACTTCATTTATTCGTTGATTTTAATTTCACAACAAAGTGCAAGAGAGACAAATATTGTGCGACAAGTTTCGCTACTCTTTACTTCTAATAGTTCCAAAAAGAAACTACATCGTTAAGTCTGCTGGCGCCACTTTTATGTATTTGGATGTAATTAAGTGAGCGTGTAGAATGTATGTAGAGAACACAGAGGAGTTTAACCAATTTTAAACAAGAAATGCCACATTTTAACAATATTGCGTAGTAGTATGTTCAATCACACTCAGCGCCACTGAGCCATGTCAGTACCAGCCATGTAGATGTCATGTATTTTCACTTTTTATTATTTATTAATTTAAAATTTTATTGGGATATGAATTTCGAACTAGAGTAAAAAATATTTTTGGATCTTCTTCAGATGATCTGATCCGTTAAATTCCATAATAGGTTCTTAAAAGAAGCTTACACACACTAGCACACATAATGACATTTCATTGAACTGAAGTTTTTGACAAATGATTCTAATAATATTTTGTTTTTTATCGTAGAATACCTGCAAGACATAGAAGCAACGTCCTCGTGTAGCAGCGAAAGCGGAAAGGAGATTTTTACTGAAACGGATATTCTTGACTTTGACTTTGATATAAACTTGATTGCCGAGGATCACATTGAGCTTGAGCCCAAGAAAATGGATCGGTGCAATCTGGTTATGGATGACATCAACAACGACAACCTCGACGACTATAAACTTCAAATGGATGACTACGATTTCCAGCAACTGACTGGAGAGGAGGAGACACTCGACATGGCCCCCATGTGCGGCATCAACTTCAATCAACCCAATAATTTCATAGACCTTAACGACATACTAACCGGATCCCAGGACCCCATGCTCTCAACATTCTCACAGACCTCCACCAACACCAAATGCTTCAGCGAAGAACCGCTGCTGGCCGACGAGAACAGCTACGGCGGCAGCATGTACGTCTGTAGTCAGGAATCGTTGGGCTTCGGCCAGGTGGACGATGTCAAGCCAGCTACCGATCCGGAAGTTGGCGGCAGCAGCGTCTCCGTGGCCATCCGACACACCCTGTCCAACCCTCTGGTTGGACTAAAGCGCACGGCCTCGGCGGCAGTGCTCGCCCCTGCGGGCGAGACACAGGCGCAGAAGCGGAGCAAGCTGATGCTCAAGATCAACAGCCAGTCGCCGCCTGCATTCAGCCAATCAGAAGAAATAAGCACACCCGCCATCATTGAGCAGGTCTTGAATTTTGAGAGGGTAAGTGTTTGCAAAATCCACGTACCCATTCTTAGAATGATTCCTAACCGGCCCGCTCTCTCCCACAAACAGCCCGAGGCCGCCAACACCACCATCATCACATCACATGCCGGAATCATCGAGGATCTGCGGAGCGCCGAGGAGGAAACCACCACCGATTTCTCAGCTCCGAACACACCGCACAGCTACTACTCGGCGTGCTCCTCCAGCGTAGCCCCAACCTGCCAGTCAGGGTTCGGCGGCTTCCTCACTGCTCCAGCCTCCCCCGCCTACTCAGTCGCCAGTACCTCCCAGTTCAGTGCCACCACCTCGACGAACGGCAACGCCCCCAAGCGAAAGCGCGGCCGTCCCGCCAAAGAGCACGCGGACGGACCAGACCCGGAGGTGATGTCCCGCATGGACGACGAGAAGCGCAAGGCATACATAGACCGCATCAAGAACAACGAGGCCAGCCGCGTATCGCGCCGGAAGACGAAGAGTCGCGATGAGCTCGAGAAGCAGTTGGAGGAGGAGCTGGTGGCCGAGAACGAAAGCCTGTTGACCCAGTCACAGCGGGTGGACCACAAGGAGACCCTGTTCAAGAACTACCTGATGGTCCGCCAGCGGAACAACAGCACCTTTGTCAAAAAGGAGCACTAGCAGCCAGGCCAGCCTTAAATTCTCGTAGCCATAAATACATAGAACTGTCGTTACCTACTGATATCGCATATTGCGGTGAATCGCCTTAAGTCGAGAGAGATCCCCTGTCATCCATTGTCTAGTTAAGTTGTTGTTGTAGTTGAGAAGAGAAAGTCCAATATCCATTACACATCCCCGCCCGAAGCTGGGGAGAACATCATGTGTCATGACATTGAACTGATGTAAAACCTAAACCATAATTACCAACATATTATGAATAGAGGCGCCACAGAGCGCGAGGTGTGATTATTTTTAAAACGTACTTTTTATTATGTTTGCAAGAACTTTAAAATTCTACCACCATGTTTTTTGTATCCACGTATAATGTTTTGATCCTAAGTGTAATCTCAAAAACACAAAATCACACAAAAAAAAAATACCTCTTTATGGGTAGAGATTACAAAATGTATTGTTTTAACCTCATTGATGAACAAAAAATGTTAAAAAACACAACAAAAAAATATATATGTCATATTGTTAAGAACAATTCACTTATATTATATACAATATATATACGTAATCGTTTGAATAAAGTGCATGTTAGAAAGAGCATGACAAAATCAAAAAAAAAAAATATATATATATATGTTTTTGATTGTATTTTCAATTGATTTTATTCAATTTTAAACCATACTACATGAAGGCCAATCGTATAAAAATTATATTCCTTAATTCCACTAAATTTGACTACTTTGCACCGTATTGAAAATTTGAACAACCGCCGAACGTATGGTATTGGTGTAGCCAACAATTTACAAACAAAAAATGTGCTCATTTGCATTAGACTAATCTGGAATTGGAATCGGTATTGTGCGGGGTGCGGCTGCGTCGCGCGATGAGCTCTCCAAAGCGCCATTAAACGAATACAGTCAAAGGTCAACCGCAGTGGCATGACAACTTCAGTTTGTCCAGTGATGAGATTCAGCCAGCTGTGTGGTGTTGAACGCGGCAATTACTGCACCACTGGTGCCTGATGGGCAGTACAATTTGCATGTGCGTTGCGTGTCGCCAGTAAATTGTTGTAGCTGCTGTTGGGTAAATATTTGAAGAGGCATCGCGCGTTTGTGATTCGGGGCTTGTGGAGGGTCAGGCTGGTGGAGGGAGAGCATCGCTTACTCCGACTGATCCTTTTCGCCATAGTTATAGTGGAGGAAGCGCAGGCCCTGCACAGACTGGGCCGTGGCATTGGTGGCATGGCAGGCGAACAGAAGCCAATTCCGGGGCTGCACCTTGTAGGCGAAGCGCATGAAGATACACGAGTAGAGCGTCAGAGCTGGAAGGGAAACGTTTTGTGATCAGTAATGTAATCTAGTATGTGGGATTCAATTAACGCCAGCCTTATCAGGCAGCCCCTTCGAAAGACTCGACGCGTTTTTCGCTTATCAGAGAGCCAGACCAGTAGTGATTTGCACATAGCCCTATCATATAAAATAGTACTCGTTCTGATTAGGAAATCTGCGACGGAAACTTTCGATGCTGAACACGCGTGTAGCGTCAAAACTGGTTTGCTGATCAAATCCACATCTTACCGAGTGTCATTTTGCCCGATATGAACTTGGGGCTCTTTTGTGTATCGGCGAGTGCGGCCAGCGGAATGCCCCAATTGGCCACGGGTCCCCAGAAGTGGGTGCTATTGATGAGCAAAGATAGCAGCAATCAATTACGAATTCTAGAACCCAAGGGGACCTTCAAACGCACCTCATAAAGTAGTCCCTCCATTCCTTGCTGGCCGTTGTGGCCATTCCGCGTCTGATGGACATGATGCTTTTACTCGGGTACGGGATAATCCAAATACAGCCGAATAAGTTGATTAGATGGTTGGTTCAACTGGATGGTAAAATACCGATTAGATTGTCTCTCGCCTGGAAACTATAAAATGTTCCTCAGGGTCTTACAGGTTGTTGATGTTCTCGTTCTCGCTGGCAGGCCTTGATCCAAAAGACCAGAAATTTTGCTCTATGGGTGGCGGGCAGAGTTTTCCGGATAACTAAAATTTTAATGTTTCGATGTCTAAAATTCGGTTTGTTGATGTGTTCAGGCCCAGACACTATTTAAAAGTTATATAAATTTTCGAAACGAAAAAACAACAAACCACAACAACACAAATTTCAGAGCAGATGTGTCAAACAGTGTGACCGCGGACCTATCGATACCCTCAGACGACCCTCAGAAATATACCGAAACATACCGCCTCACTTTTAAAATATACCGTAAATATACTGACGAATTCAAGTTCTATTTTACATATTCCTCGTTTTTGATATTCCGTCGAATATTACTAGCTATATAGAATATTTAGCCATGCCGTCATAATTTTATACGATTGATGAATCAATTTTCTAATTAACTGAAGTATTCTTAATACTCGCTTTTATTTCATTTTGCGTGAAAAGAGGTTTTAGCGAAATAAGTCAAACAAAAAACAAATAGGGAAAGACTATAGTCGTTCCTATTGTTCAATTTTGATATTCCGTCGAATATTATTAGCTAGATAAAACAATTTGCCATGCCCACATAATTTTATACGATTCATGAAACAATTTTTACTTAACTGGCGTATTCTTAATACTAAGTTTTATTGGATCTTGTCTAAAAAAAGGTTTTAGCGAAATAGTTCAAAATAAAAAAAACGAAAGAGGATAGTCGTTCATTTTCCCCATTTTATTGATACCGTTGAATAATTATGGCTAACTAAACCCCTTAGTTCTGCCCACATTATTTTAGGTCGTTGATGAATACATTTTCTACAAGATTGGCTAGTTTTTTGTCCTTGCTTTTATTGTATTTTGGCTAAAACAAGTTTTAGACTAAATAGTTCAACAAAAAAAAACAGTCGAAATGTTGCTGGTGTTTGAAGACATGATGCGTGTATAGACCTTTGTATATCTTCCATCTTCCATCAAATATAACTAGCTATATACATATATTTTTGCAGCAGTCAGCTACTATAGTTTCACAGCAGCCAGACTGATAAGTTTCACAGCATCCATATTTTTGTTTTATAGCAGCCAAGATTAAGTCACAGCATCCCTTTATATCTAGCAGCTAGTCATAATTTCTGGGTAGTTACCGTATAGTTTCATAGCAGCCAGCAACGGCTACCGGTTATTAATAATAATTCAAATATCGGTTTTGGTAATAGAGAGTTTAAATCGGTTTATTTCGGTTAACGGTTCCCGTTCCGGTTCCGGTTCCTGTTTCGGTATGATTCGCAGCTTCAAGTGTTTAATCCACCACGCGCTTCCGCTCTTTCGCTCTTTACGGCCATCAAAAGAGATTTGGGGCGGCGCGAGCTGGTGCGCCGTGCGACACACATTCTGCGCCGCCGAGTCCTTGGGTCCCCGAAGCATTCGCAGCAGAAGCGGATTCGCATTCGGAACTCTGTTTCAGAGTGAATTTGCAACTCGAGAGTGACGGCACGACGGCGGCTAACGGAACAAGGCTCGGTAAATAGTCCAGGCGAAACACACAGAGGCGGCGGCATCCACAACAGTGGCAGTGGCAGTGGCAGTGTCAGCAGCACCAACACAGGCAAGAGGATAGGCAAAGCAGAGCAGCGTGGAAGTGGAAATGGGAATGGTCATGCCTGCCGCTGTCGCTGTCGCCGTCGCTGCTTCTCCTACCATGTAATCCCCACTAGTGTCTGTGTATGTTGTGTGTGTGTGTGGTCAGTGTGTGTCATATTCCCAGTGCGGTAGACCAGACTATGACGAAAAGACTACGGCGGAAAATCGGAAAATTGGAATCGTGTGTGCATTTGGAAAACCAAACCGTCTGCGTGTGCTTCTTTTGTTACTGATGGTGCTGTCGGTCCATATTCGTTAAGCCAGCGTCATCAGTGGCAACAGCCGCACCGCAACCCAACCCCCAGAAGAACGAGTATGGTATGGCATGCCCTGCCGCTGCCGCCGCCATACAGCCCTCAGCAGAAAAATCAATCCCCCGGTCGCACAGCGCAGACAGCGCCACACCAGACGTGGGAGTGTTTTTTTTTTATTTTGTCTTTCGCAAGAAGAAAAACGAAAAACCGTCAACCTCCAAGCCGAATAGAAATTTTACTTTTTACGCCATTGCAGACACAGTATTTGTTTCGAAATATTCCACAGACAAAACCTTTAGCCAGCCCCCGACACAACACACGAGAAAGACTGACAGGCAGAAAATGTTAAGAGAAAATCAAATGGCCGCTCCCAAAAAATCCCGAATTTATCCACAACAACCAGAGCAGGGCAGAGCAGGGCAGAGCATGGCCACGGGGCAATGGGAACGGGGGGAACAGGAAACGAGGGGGAGAGCAACCACAACAACAGACAAAGAAATTAAAAGAAAGAGTAGTAGCATTGAGAAGAATCGAAATCGGCACATAAAGATGCTTTAAAAAGCATTGGGTTTATGATATTAAATATATATTATATGAGCAGAGTTGGTGGGCGTGTCGGTAGTGGTAGTGGCCCGACCTACTTTGGCTTAGGTCTGAAGGTCTTTGTCATTAGTTGGGCTCTGTAAGAACTCTGGGCTAATTATTAGAAGACGACGGCACCCCCGGCTGTGCCCAGCTCTGGGGTAGAATTTTCACCAAATGTCTCAATTGAATAAGTGCGAAATTCGAGTAGAGCAGAGCTCCACACATGGATGGGGATAGTTAGTCCGAATGGGTGAGTGGGTGAATGGGTGTCCATTGTGCCGAGCCTAGTTAAAGTGTCCGAATCTTAATCTGTTTACTTGTCGGCTGTTGATTCAATCAACACGAACACACAGATGCACTCTCTCAATGCAAATTGGGTTTATTGTTCGGTCAATTGGATAAGATTTGCTTAGGTGATTGGCTCGGAAGATTATGAGCTCGAAAGATGATGTATGTGCTGTGCTGGCTTGGACGTTGACGCTGACGTTGAGGATGAGGTGATTTGGCACTTGTCAGATCTAGTTTCAGTTGCTAAACAGCAACCAGTGCGTGAGGACGACCCGTGTTCAAGCCCATAGACGATTACCCGAAAACAGACTCTGTTGAGCAGTGCTAATCCTTTCATCTATCCCTCTCTTTCTCTCCGAACACAAAAAGGATTTTCCGTGAAAGTGACTCGAGTGCGAAATGATATTTTAAGAAACAAAGCGAATCAGGCCAGAGCCAAAGTGCAAACAAAACGAAAAGTGTTCAGCAGCAAACATCGCACCCACAAAAGGATCGGGGCCCAAGGAGCCACAGACTGCACTCCAATGCAGTCCCCACTGTAGGTGCGTATAAGTCAGACAACAATTAACCAAAAACCAAACACAGCACCCAACTAGGGGGAAGGCTAAATGCTAGGACTAGGACTAGGACTAGGACTAGGACTATGGCATATCACAGGTTTTTTTTGCCAAAAGGGCGTGTGTTTTATCCTCTCTCTGAAAGTCTTTGCGAGTGTGCGAGTGTGCGAGTGTGCTAACGTGTGTGTGTGTATGTGTGGATGAGTGGGTGAGTGGCGCTGCTTCCTCTCTGGTTACTCTTTTTGTTGGCATTTTTCATTGATGTTGATGGTTTCGTATATCAACTTGGTGCTTCTTTCTCCTTTCTCCTTTCTCCACTCTCCACTCTCCAGTCGGTCGGTGTGTAATAAAATTGATGATAAAATAAAAATGGATAATGGGCGATTTTTGGCAGCCGCTCTTCGTCTCGGCCAAGAGTCTGGCAAAAGTTGTTTACCGTCTCTCATTTTTGTGGTAATTCACCAACACCACAATTCACACACACACACACACCAACACACACAAACGGCGACCACGAGCAGTGGTTGCTTTCTCTTTTGTCTCTTTCAACGCGGTTCGGTCTCTCTTCGGCCTTCCTTCTCTCTTATTGTTGGGGGAGGACTGTGTGGTGTCTGTGTGTGTGGGTGGGTGGTTGGGTGGTGAGGTGCTTCATGCATCCTGCCTCTGATAACAAAGCTGCACGGCCGTTAAATGTTGCCGCTGATGGTGCGAGTCCTGACTTGCCTAAAAATTGCAGCATTTTAATCAGGATAATGCGGGAGACAGATACGAAATACAAACAGGAAGCACACGAACACAAACACACACAACACAGGGGGATGGCTTTGCCCCGCCCCTAGCACAGGGCGACATTAAGGGAGTACACGTTCTGGCTTCTTCGGAACTGGCTTTCGTCTGGTTCTGGACTGGCTTTGGTCTTGGTCTTGGCATAATTTGCCTGTCGTATCGTATTTAGCCGGGTTAATTACCGAATATCGTGTTGATAGCTTAAGCGTTTCATGAGGCGCCATAATGTGGCAGCGCCAAAGGAGCGCCAGCGGTGTGTCCTTGAGGCACTTTTTAAAATGTTTCCATTGTTGTGCGGTCTCCGGCAATGGTCTCCTAGCCACATTGAGACCTCCTGCAATGGCCAAAGCAATGGCTGCGATAAGGTTAAATATTTAATAGGGTTTCCAGCTCCTCCTGCTTTCTCTCTCTCTCTCTCTCTCTGTGTCTCTAGCGACAACTGTCTTTCTCTCTGTCTATCTGTCTGTCAGTCAGCCGAGAGTTTCTGTCTGTTTGTCTCTGTCAATGCTGCGACAACACTTGGCTTTGGGAAAAGTTTTGACTCTTCCTTCCCATTGTTTTTGTCCCCCTTGACTATTGTTTTTTGTCCCTGGGTATGGCAGCATTTTAGAAATAAATTAAAATTTCATTTAAGTGCCTTTCAGCTAAAAACTTTCTTAATTACAAATGTGCTGGGGCACATTCCGTCCCCGAGGCTGATGCTGAGGCTTTGGGTCTCCTGTTCTATCAATCGATGGGTGTCAAATGTGCTTTTGCATCGACAGTTCAGGGTTAATTTTGTGCCCAATCACGTTTTACTCCTTCGAAGGGTGTTCCAAGGTGTTTTTTTTGTCTTGGAGATAAACCAAACAGAAGTATTCAGAAAACATTTTTCCTAAAACCGCACTCTTTACAAATTGCCTGAAAATGGCACAGACCCACATGGAGTCTCGTGCTTATATGTATGTATAGACAAAAGGCCACGCTGACATCTCTTAGTCATGAGCAGGAGCCTGCTGCCAACAATGGTGGGGCCCAAGATGCGGCATTTATATTCGAGGTCCTCCACTCGCTCACAGTGGCATGCAAAAATAATCATGCAACAACAGAGAGACACACAAATATAGATGTACTCGTACTCGCAGCAAGAAAGAACTTTTTGGAGCGCTCTTGCCGTGCACTTAGAGGAAAACGACGGCACCACAGCACGACAGGAGCAGCATCCACAGTTGGGGCAGGGACAGGGGCTACTGCCACAGCATCAACAATGGGGACAACGCTGGCCACGCCCCACACATGCCCGCTTGTCTGGTTGCCACTGGCGATTCAGCATCCATTCACTCATCCATTCATGCGCTCCACTCTGCTTGTGCAGCACTGGACGAGGACGACAACGACAACGACAACGTTGCCGGATATGGGAGTGGGTGTGGGTGTGGGTGTGGGAGTGGGAATGGGAATGGGGTGAAGGACTGGGGGGAAGGACTTGCATATTTGCCACATCGTTGTTGCTGCCCAACGTTATTGTTGTTGGGGGAACACACTTAAGTGGTCGTTCAGAGTGCGCCAAGTTCTGTTTATGAATAAGAAATAGTTTATTTGCAAAACGTTTACCCAGGCTCTATACACACCTCCCCTGCAGCGCCCATCGGGCGGTCAATTAGAGGAGCTCCGGAGGAGCGGGTTAAAACCCCGTTTTCTGGCTAATGAAATGATGCATGGGAAGTACGTTAAGGGGCATTTTCATAATTGAAAAAGTTTTCAATCCGAATATGGGGCACACACCCGGAAGCGGTGACATCCAAGCGTGGGGGTCGTCTCTCTGTGTGTCCTGGCAATTTCAATTCGCAACCTCAGGCTGCAGTAAGCGCACCCGTGAGTGCCATAAGCATGCGTCCAAAGATAATTGTTACGTCATTAAGTGACTGCCAGTAAAAGGCATGGGCAAACGAAATAAATAAATAAAAGACAATCACACAAGCGCACCCACACACACACACGCGGAACAGTCGCACTCACGCACACACACAAAACGCACAGATCCGCAAATGCTGAAGGAGGCTGAAATAATCGGTGCCTACTTTTGTGCGCATCTCACAATTAAATACATTGGCAGCGACATATGCGGCAAAGCGTAAACAAGCCCCCCGAATGGGGAATGGGAATGGTACATGGGACATGGGGAAAGCAAGAAAGGAAGAAAGGAAGAAAGGGAAAGGCAAAGGCAAAGGGAAAACCCAGGGAAAACCGAAGCAAAAACAAAGCAACGTTTTTCCTTTTGCCTTTTGCCATTGCCTCTGTCGCTGTCGCTGTCTGAGGCAAAATCAAAAGGGCGACGGCAGCAGAGGATGGCTGAATGGTGGATGGCTCTCTGCGTGTCTATCCATGTGACTCTTATTCGTTGGTGTAAGCTGGGCAGCGCAGGCGTGCTCTCTCTCACCCACACACACAGACACACACAGGCACACACAAAAAAAGGCACAGAGAGACACAAAGGATGGTTCTCTGTGGATGGGCAATGTCAATGTAACTGTTATCCAGCTGCCGCTCCAGTGGGTTTGTTTCCTTTCCCCTCTGCTGCAGAGCCCGACCCGATCCGATCCGACCTGACCCTCTATGCGATGGTGCTCGTGTGTTTATGCTCTGATTTGACTGCCACTGATAAGGAGGCACTACGCGCTTCTGCCAGCGGAGGGGGGTGAAGCGGGGGAGTGGAGCACTAGGGGAAGGTTGCTCTTTGCATTACAATTCGATCTGCCTTAGACACATTGTGCGTTGGTATAGTTGTAACTTTTTGCTGCCTTTAGGCGCGCGAAAGTTTACAATTGACTTTTAACGATATCACACACAGGCACACACACACACGGACACACAACACTCACTCGCACTCGCACTCACACAGAGAGGGAGAGCGAAAGAGAAACACTCTAACAGGACTAAACTTATGTGCGAATTTATGTGTTATCATTTATTGTGTGTCCTTTTGTGTGTGAAAACGTGCGCTTGGCAGACAGATATAGCCCTGCCACGCCCCAAAGTCAGCGGCAACGCACCGACACCGACATCGCACTCCACCGCCCACCGCCTGTCTGCTAGCGCCATTTTGTGATAATATGCTGCGCCTTTTGTTTTCACAGCAATAAAAATTGGTTGTAATTTAGTTGCCGCCTGCCTATTGTCTATCCCCTATCGCCCCCCCCCACTCACACTCGATGTGTCTCTGTGTGTGTGTGTATGCTTTGTTGTGATTGATACGGAGCTTGTGGCAGAGAGGCTTTGTTTGTTTGCCTTTTGGGTTCGTTTCGTTTCGTTTTCGTTTCCTCTCTAGATTTCCAATTAACTTTCGTTGATGCGTGTTTTATTTTAATGCCATTTGCGGCTGAACTATTTGTGTGGCATACTTTGCGGCTGCTCTGGAAATTTGCATAGTCATGGCCAATTATGGGCCCGGGAATACATCCTTTAATAATATCTATGCTCAGACATGTACTACGTGAGTCGCATAATGTTCTATAGGGGATTACTGCATCGCATCGCCGGCTGCAGTGCGTGCTGGGCAAATGAAATGTAGAAAACACATATTATAGCCACTCGGAAGCTTCTGTTGAAGGAGTGGCACTTTACCTACATTTCTCTGTAATCTTTTACACACGAATAAGTAATTTAAATCCTCTAGAAATAGCCAAAGTGCCACTTCCTGAAGGGAAAACAGTTTCTTGTTTCACCAACTAGATTCCCTTTCATAAAAGAGCCTTAAAATAATCTCGGAACTGTTTCCTTAACCCATTTACATATAGACCCTGATGATTTAGCGCAGTATCTGCATCAGAAGGCAGAGCATCTGGCTCCTGCCTCCTGCAATGACAATCTTTCACTTTTCTCATTTTCTCTTTCCATTTCCATTGCAGCCCAGAGCAAAGAATTTCCTTTCTTCGCCCAAACTGAAGCAATTAACTGAAAATGTAGCAGTGGCAAGAACATGGCCCAACTGGAACACCAAATGCCATGCGATTGCAACTAGCATAAATGTGAGTATATTGTAGAGTGAAATGAAGGGGCCAAGGGGGGAGTGGAGTGTCGCTGCTAATTGCCTGCGAGTCTCAGGCTGCTGCTGAATGCGAAGCCAGAGCTAGAGCCTGAGCCTGAGCCTGAGTCGGTGCTTTTGTGAGTGCCGGAGCATTTCATTTGCTTTCAATTTGGCTGCTGCCATCTAATTGCTCGGCACTAATTTGGCGTCTCGCATTTCATTCGCCTTGTCGGGGTAGCCCATTATTAAAATTTCTCCTTGGCACCAGACCCACACCCATACCCAGTCCCAGCCCCAGCCCCAGCCCCATTGTGAGAGCTCTCGCTCTCCGTCCAACACTAATCAACTGATATGAAATGCAGCTCAGCTCGGGCTTGCCAAATAGCCAGAGGGCCTGGCCTGCCTGTCTCTGGCTGAAACTCCAGCTTATTGAATTGCCAGCACATTGATTCTTGGCACTAGAGAAGAATCCATGTTTGCCTGGCCCCAAAAATAGTAATTTGATTGTGGGGGTGGCGGTGCATCGATCCAAGTGCCAGCAGCAGATTGATTTACAGAGGTCTTAGTCCTAGTCTGGCAATAACTGATTGAGAAACGGGCCCCAGCTATTTGAGCAACTTGTGTAAGCCGCCTAATCATCAACGGAATGGCGTTTACCCTCAATCAGGGCAGATCAAAGCGAGTTTTCAGCCAGCTTCAGCAATTTTGGCACTCGGTTAGATGATCCAGGTCAGGCTGAGGATAGTACAGGTGCTGTCCCGCCATCTCTTATCACGTTATACAGTTAAGCTGAAATTTGATTTGATTTTTAATATCGTCATGCCTGGTCCCTGTCCCGGGTCCTGTCCCGAATCTCTCACCTAGTCCCTCTATCTGTGCGCCTGTGAGTCCTGGCTGGCTAAATCAGTTTTACAACTTTTATGTGAATCCTTCACCTGCTTTATTGTTGTCGTTGCCATTGCTGTTGGTATTGCCGTTTGCCGTTGCCGTTGCCGTTGCCGTTGCCATTGCCTCCAAGGAGTATAAAAAGCCGTGTAACATTACCGAGGACAACGGCAAAATGGCTCTGACAGCAACGACAGCAGTAGCAGCAGCAGTGGCAGCAGCAGTGGCAGAGGCAGTGGCAGGAGGAACACCAACAAGGTCCATAGTTAAACTCAAGCGGGGCTCCAAAGTACAAGATTGTTAGCATGGCGGAGGACACAGCTGGATCCAGGACGATGCCACCGAGCAGTGGCACAAAGGCAAACACAAATGCACAACATTCTTTCGAGGGCGGATGGAGATGGAGGACGATGCCCGCTGGGCATCGTGTTGGCCAGAGGAGACATGCGGCATGCTGCATGGGGCATGGGCATGGTGACTGCGGTTTGCTTTGCCTCCTGTGGATCCTTTCAGATCCATCTAGGTGGCCTGTTGGCTGGAGCGGGGGCTGGGGCTGGCGCTGCGGTTGTGGCTTCTGCATTTGAAATGCGGGGAAATTATGCATTAAATCGAAACGAGGTGCGGGGCGGCTAAGCAGCGGCAAACGAGTGGGCGGCAAACCTGGGCGTGGCCCAGGCGAAAGTTGACACAAAAGCAGGCGTTGGCTTGTCTTAAGCGGGTAACGAGTCCGGGAAAAGTGTGAGCATGTGTGTGTGTGTGGTACCTTATTTGCATGTGACACACGCCCCCAACGTGCCAGCGATACCTGATATCCAAAAGAGGCGCCGCCAAGGTGCATAGAACTGGTACTACACTGGGAAAACCAATCGCCATGACATATCTTCAGAGTAATCAAAAGCAAATCGGAGAATACCAAATAGTTTTTGCCTCAAATGGAATGAACATAGTCCGAGCAAATAGTCTCTAACAAATAATAAACTTCACGAGGTTTCCAGAAGTTATTCTCCAGAGATTTCATAAAAGGCAGCTCTGAAAAAATCAGAAAATATTCTATGTAAATGTCCGGGACTCAACAGACGAAGAAACAAACATCCTGGGGGACATTGAATATCATGAGAGTTCCTCTAAAAACTTAAGAAAGGAATGCTTGGGAAGAGCAGAGCGTTAGGAATAGGAATCTGCCAATTATATAGAAAACTTTTGGGTCGTCGTGGTCGGAGCAAGTGAGATGAAGTACCCCCTAGTAAGTCAATATATACATAGGTCATACCCTCGATGCTTATGGCTTATGGATTAGAATTTCTTGGTTCAATTACTAACCCACATTGATTGAAAAACGAAACTCCATTTATTCCCTCAGTGTACTTGCAACTTTGTATGTTCGGGGGTGCAGCCAAAAGTCATCTCCTTTCTGAGAGTGCATCCTGGGCTAGTCGTGGCACGGGCTCCCTTTCATATCGTGTGGCACGTAGGTTCGTAATAAATTTGAAATTATGTGCACATTTCGTGCCGCAGGCTGAAGGCCAAGCAATTTGCAACTTGCACTTTGATAATTTATGTTGTATGCAACCCGGCGCCGGTAGTCATAAACATATATCACATCTGCCGTGCCGTGCCGTGCCTTGCCTTGCCGTTCCGTGCTATGCCGCCCATCCCCCCTGGTTACCATCCCGTGCTGTCATTGTCAGCCGCCGCCTGCAGAGTGCAGAGTGAATTTTTTTTTTCAATTTCCGCGAATGCGCAACACAAAGGACATGGTGTCAGGCGAATGGGGATTGATTATGCCGTCTGTCAAGGACACACCGACGGGCACTCGTCTTCTAGGGCCTCGGGCTTCCGTTCCCCTTCAATGGCTTATCTCCTGTCACACGGTTCGACAGCTGTCCAAGGAGGCTGGACAGGCGTTGCCATAAGTCCGATTGAAGGGTATCATCGACGCAGGGAACCACACAAATTGATGGTCAATGCAAGCGACGCAGCTTAATATCACTAATTAAGGATTCATTCATCATCGGCCAGTTGCCACATGCCGCCACATGCCATGTGCCGTGTGTCATGTGTCATGTGCCCACTTGGCACTGCCACCTGCCACTGACAGATGCGATCGTATATGCATGCGTGTTAGCTTTTGAAATTTGATTTACAATTTGCAGCCAAGTCCCAAAACTCAATTCGGTCCTTCCGCCCAATCAGCCCTTCCATATGCAGACAATTAAGTCAGCATTCAGCATTGAACACAAACCATGGAAACCATTACGCAGCCATCAGATTTAATTTCGATTAATTAAAGTCCGCATTGAAAGGATTTCGCTTTGTGCCAGCGCTGCACTTTGCCAAGGTTTTGCATCGAATGCGATTTGATAAATGTTGAATTTGTTAGATCCCCCGCAGGAAGCTGATTCAATTTGGCTGACTTGGCTGTGGCTTTCATTAGCCTCGTCGAAGGGTGGTACTCGTAGTTCCATAGCCCTTTGGGTAAATCGAGTTTGGGTCGTGGATGGCCACTGCAGCATATGCATATTTTCATGTAGTCTATCATGACTATTCCATGGCAAATTCCGGTACCTCTTCCTGTGTGCCTGCTGCTTGCTGCTCCATTGATTTGGCAATCCAATGGATTTGTCTTTTTCCGCTTTCCCCCTTTTCCTGTGGCCGTGCTCATGCCTGTGTTTGTGTTGGTGCTTGTGGTTACCCCAAAACACAGCAGTATCGTAAACAATTCGATTTTTGACGCACACTCGGTGTGGTGCAGGGGCAGGGGCGGAGTGCATTCGTTCTAATCGGATTTTGTTGCAGCTGCGGCCAGAGCTGGCGGGCAACGAAAAGCTGCTGCTGCCAGGAATTTGATATCAAAAGCAATTTGGGCAACGCTGTCAATGCGGGGTGGGGTGTGGTTTGAGGTTGGGGTCTGGTCAAAATGGCATTGAATTGGAGTCTCTTCCTCCTGTACTACGCTGCGTATGCGCACGGAAAAAGGAATCATAATCTTTGACACTTCAATTTGATCGCCCGGTATTTGTAAGGCCTTCGACAGCACAGCAGAAGCTTTCTAGGGGCTCAAATGCTGCCTCCAAGCCGTGCCTCCAGCTCCTGACGTTGATGAATATTGCTACAGCGATAAATTCAATTACAAGAGCCGGGGCTGAGTCGAGTCAAGCCAAGTCGAGCGCTATAACTCAACTGACAGCAGCGGCTGAGAACTCTTTGCCGCCCGCCGCCCGCCGCCCGCCTCCACCTCCGTCTCCGTCTCCACCACTTTATCCACTCGACTGGGCCCTTAAAGTGTTGCCTGGGAATTGTTAGAGAGAGCCACCAGACACAGGCACAGGCACAGACTCAGGCAGAGGCCCAGCAGATAGGGACACGCACAATGCAAAGGCGGGGGAAAAGGCAAAGGAAAAACAGTTAAAAGTAAACAGTGGCAGCCCGGAAAAAAGAGGCACAACAACATAAAATAAATGTAATAAATTTTAAACATAGAGATGATAAATTGCTCTGGGACTCGGCTCAAGACGCTGCCAGTGGCAGTGGCAGTGCCAGAGCCAGTGCCAATGTTGCTTCTGCTTCCCTATTCTCTTGCACCATTTTTACAATTTGTTTGCGGCTTCCCCCCTGTCGTGTCGCTTGTGGCACGTGTGGCTGGCATTTTTATCTACGAGTATTTGGCAGCTTGCTTTGCTTGTCGTTGTTTAATTTAGTTTGGAAGCTCCGGAATTGATTCGCTCGGAAAGTTTCGTTGCCCCTTTTCTATTTATATTTCCATTTGAGATACCGTACTTACAATCTTTTTGACACGCTCGCGCCTTGCCGAAAAGTTTTACAAACTTGCTACGAAAGTCGCATTAATGTTGCAGTTGCGTTCTGTTGTGTTTTGTCCGTAACTTTTACTTAAGTGCTTCCAGCT